GCTAGTTGCAGTGTGGAATCAGAGCCATGTCAATGAACTTGTTATTACTTTGTGCATTTGTAAGATGATAGGCATGAAAAGGGCTAATGATGTCGAACTGTTATTTTGAAAATGTTTTTGAAATTATGGACCCCCAAAGGGTTCTTGGGGCTCACCCTCTCCAGTGGGGCCTGGACTGCACGTGAGAACCACTGATGGAGAGTCTACAGGTACCCGCACAGTTTCTCTCCTTGCTTCTGCTCCTAGGAGAGTGGTGAGGTGAGGGTGGGGCGGGGAGGACAGCAGGAGGAACATGGACTCCAAGGGTACGTCATGGCAATCCATGGCCCGCAGAGACTTAGAGTCCCGTGTGTCTGTTCCAGCTCTGCCTCTGCCCGACAGTGGCATCTTGGACAAGGTTTCGACCCAGTCTTGACCTTTGGTGTCAGAGTTAGGATCAATCTACATCTCCGAACTCTGTGTTCTGGGTTCTTTCCAATGTTATTAAGCCCCGAGGCCACTTCCTAGCCCTTGGCCCCGGTCAGCACCTCCTCTTTCTTTCTTTCTTTCTTTCTTTGCTGCTGGCCCCGGATGCCACCTGCCTCTCCCACCTCGTCTCTGCTGCCCTGTACCCCTCCTGCTCAGGCCTGGTTTTGCCATTAAGATCGGTACCATTGCTTCTTTCTCCCTCTCTGATTCCTTACTCTAGAGAGTTAAGCTCTTAGCATTCTCGTATTTTTCTGCCGGTCCCTCCAGCCTTTCTACATTGCGAATGTATTCTCTGTCATTCTTCCATAGCCTGTTGTCATCCATTTGAGTGCTAGTGTTCAAGTCACTTTTAGGCCCCGCCCCAAAATTTGATCTATCACAGTACATCTTTGAGTTATTGCAGCTCGAGCGTTTTGACACGATACATTATGGTAATCCATGGCACATAGAGACATTAACACTCCCGACTTTGACAAAATACATTGTGAAGTCTTTGAAGGCACCATTACAATTTGTCTTGTCATTCACGGGGAGACCGAGTTCAGCATTAATGTAGATGAACCCAGTGTGGCTTTTGTTTCATTTAATTGCTTGTGACCTTTTTAATTGCTAATTTAACAAAATACCAAAGGGTTATATTTCAATTAAATTAACAGAAGAATGTTTTTTGTTACTATATTTATTTGTAAGGCATTCCGTTTCTTTCCACTTTTTGCTTTGAGAAGATAAAAATGTCTTCTCTTGAACAGAGGTGGGCTGTTAAGTGTGCAGTTTATAGTACAGCAGTAATTTTAATGTGCATACAGTGCAGTGCCAAGCATGTTCCCTGTGTGGTTGGATTCGCGCCTTTCGAGAAGGATGTAAACAGTAAAGCCGTACATGCAAAGTCACAGAACTTTTCTGGTCCAGAAACATGCGTTCGATGTGACGTTCTACTTCAGATGTTGGTCTTTAGATAAAGCGTCTGTTGCATGCTCCATGTGTCAAGCGCTACTGTGCCTTGTACTGTTTTCTTTGTGTCCTGTAGCGAGTTTGTAAGCTCCCGAAGATCAGGACCCTCGTTATCCTCACCGGCGTTCCTCCACAGCCTGGCACCGTGCCAGCGTGAGGAGACTAGCTGCAGGTTGCGTACCTGACTCACCTGTACACGCAGACGTGCCCCTCCAAGCAGCGGCGCTCCTGAGCCTGCTTTGAGAAATGGCTCCGGACCTCCGAGACCCGAAGCAGGTAGCCTGCTTTGGGTGAGCAGCAGATATCGGAGGCACGTGCAGGCCTGTTTGCTCTCGCTCTGCTCGCCCAGGTGCTGTTGCCCTTCTCATCATAAAAGCAAACATGCCCCTTGTCAGCTGGGGCCAGCTCAGAACTCATTCAAGTATCAGGGGACTTAAATCCTCAAATGGGATATGAATTTACGCTGTCAGAGAGTAGAAGGTCAGTGCAAGAAGCATTAGTGTGTTGAGCCAGCTCCGGCTGTGTAAGTCTGGAACAAAATTAATATAAGGAAATTGACAAGCCTTGCTGGTTATTCCATAGCTTTAAGACCTCTACTAAAATCCTATCATCTCATCTGCCCGTTATTAACATTTCAGCAAAATATAAAGTTTTCATTAATCTCCCACAGCAAATTTAGGAGTGAAAACTGGCACTTGTTTGAGCTTTTAGGACTACATTAGCTGGTGTATTAAACAAAATATGTCATTCTTCAGTAGCTTCTGTAGAAAGCTAAATCAATTTCCAGCCATATTTATGCACCACTTTATCTAAAAGCATCTGAATTATCATTTACAGCTAAGATGCTTTATTAGCAGCTGGCATTGAAATTGCTCAGTAAAAAATTATATGTCACGTTATAGTAATTTTTAAATTGGTTTTAATCCAACATCATAAAATGTAAAACTCTTAAGTATGTTTTTTTTTAGTAATTGGCATTTTAGCATAATGAGCCGTTACCTCTTTCCAAATCAAATACCTGCAATATTTAGAAAATACTAATTAGTGAAGAAAACAGAGGTTCTTAAGCTAAGTTGTATCTAATAATGGCATTTTCTCAGAAAAGAGGACTTTAAATGATTTTTAAAACATGAAAAGATTTTAATATTTCACCAGAATTCTCCACAGTTCTCATGTATATAGAAGTTTCTGTATAAAAATAAACACATCTTGGCAAGTCCGTAAAATGCATATCAGGAAAAGTGAATGATTATTTAAAACTCAGATTTCTAGCCAGCTTCTCAGTTCGAGATGTGGACATTAACCAGGAGATAGTCGTGGTCATGATGGTGGCATCTTCATTCAAAATCACAGGTGTTCCAGAGAAAGGAAACTGGGTTACTCAGTGGCCCTTGCAGATGCTGAGTGCAGCTCTGCTAGTCCTCGCGATGTGACATTGGCTAAGTCACTCAGCCTCTCCGATCCCCACCTACCTGTAAACATGGCACCAGGTTCTCATCCAGTAAATTTTTATCTTGCTTTATCCTGTGTGAAGGCTTCAGGAACCAGCTTTGACTTAGAAGCTTGTCCTGTAAGCAGTAATTATGAGAAGGAAAAGCACGTAGTTGTCAGGCTGCCAGTTATGTGACAGAATTTTCCTGTTTTATACCCAAATCTAGAGACTTTTACTCCTCCAACTCTGTCCCAAGGAGTGCTCTCGGGGTGTCCCATGGGACCATCCGGTGCTCAACACAAGGCCTAGGGCACCTACTCTGGTTGCTGGACAGGGGCTCCCTCCCAGTGGTGACAGGCACCAGCAGCTACACCCTCAGAAGACCACAGTTCAAACTCTGGAGGGTGAGAGACAGTTTAGCTTTGCCTAGTGTGACCTTAGGCACCTGACTTTGCCTCGAAAGCCTCAGATTCCCAAAGCGTCGGATGAGAATGACAGCTGGGTTATCGTGAGGCTTAAACGCGTGTGGCAAGTGCTGGTACCATGCCTGATGTGCAGTGTGCACTCGTACGTAGTAGCTTCTGTTTGTTTGTTTATCTATCTATCTAGCAGCATTTAGTGAGAGCATGCCAGTTACCTGTACTGCTTGCAGGAGAAGACACGGAGATGAATGAGAATCTCCTGGCCCTCACACAGCTTCCTAATTAAGACAGAGCAACCACTCAGGCATCTGGTGCAAGGCCGAATGTGATGATCCTCTATGACAGTAGAATGAAAATAATCATGACTGCTATACATTCAACGTATTATGTGTTTGATTTTTAAAATACATTTTGACATTCTGTGGGTGGAAAACTGGGGTTCAGAGAGCTAGTCACTTGGCCAAGATCATACAGCATATTAGAAGCAGAGCTAGAAATTGAGCCCAGGTCTACCTGGCTCCAGGGTCCAGTACAAACCAACTGCGGTGGAATTAATTCAGCAGAAGGTGGAGTTTGAGCTAGCCTGGGTGGGCTTTTGACAGGTCCAGGGTAAGAGCGGAAATGGTGTTCTAGGCCAAGGACATATGAGCAAAGGCCCAGAAGTTGAAAAACCCAAACCTGAGCGCCATCCGACGTGTTTCAGAAGAGCCGAAAGGAGGAATATGTGAGGAGTGACAAGTAGAATTGATAAATTATGTTTCACCCGGATTATGGACAGTCTTGATTGCTTGGGTGAAAAAAAGTGCACATCATTCAGGAAGCCATGGGAAGCCAGGGACAATTTTTGAGTACCAGTCTTCTTAGTTGTCTCTAGTGTCACATATCAGAGTGCTTAGCATGCATAGAGCTCTCGCTAAACATTTGATCAGTGAATAAATAATCAAAGCTTTAGAAAAATGAATCAGAAAGTCCTGTGGTGGCTGGATTGCAGAGGGGGCCTGGTGGCCAGGCCAGCGAGGAGACTGTTCCAGACGTCCAAGCACAAGCAGGCTCACGCCTGCACCAGTGGGCCCTGGGGCACGGGGCAGGAAGCTAGTAAACGGACGGTTTGAGAATCTTGGAAAAGACAGAGATTCTTCAAGGAGCATGGATTACTTTTATGATCGGGCAACTTAATGTCAAAAAAAGAAACAAGCCTACAGCCATGCTATCCTGAACAAGCCCAATTCCGTCTGATCTCGGAAGCTAAGCAGGGTCGGGCCTGGTTAGTACTTGGATGGGAGACCACCTAGGAAGACCCGGTGCTAAAGGCGTAAAAAATAAAAATTTTTTAAAAAATAAGGTATCGTAAGCTGACAAGGTCCTTGCATTCTGTGAGGTCAACCAAGGGTTGCCTCGCCTAAAAAGAAACAAGTGTGACCTCCCATCCTTCTGCGATTTTAACTTGGTCTTGTGGAGACTGGCGAGCTGTTTTCCTCTCCTGTACCCCTGCTGCGTAGCCAAGGGCCTGCCATGGAATAGGCAGTGTTTGTGGAATTAATTGTTGAATGATTAATATGTTACCATTCTCTTGTTTACTGGAATGGCATTATTAAGTCATCGCTCAGCCTTTTCTTCTCCAAATTAAATAGCCCATATTATTTTAATTTATCCCAAAGCATTTTAAGCAGACACCATTTGCCAAGCCTCGTGTATCTTTATGTGTTAAACTGCTTTTTCCTCCCCAGGTTCAAGGGCAGACGGGGTTTTTGAGGAGGATTCGCAAATTGACATAGCTACAGTACAGGACATGCTTAGCAGCCACCATTACAAGTCATTCAAAGTCAGCATGATCCACAGACTACGATTCACAACCGACGTACAGTTAGGTAAGTGCGTGAACAGATGATGAACTCAACCTATTATGTCTGTGGTCAATTTAGAAATAGGGGAAGAAACAGCGTACAACTTTTATGTGACCTGAATGACTAACAGTAATTTATTTTCAGAGAAAATGTTTAAACAATGAAATTTAAGGTACCTCCCTTTTCCCAGCTGAGTTCTGTCTCGTCTCTTTTTTATGAAGCAGAAAGTTAGAAATAGAACTGACTTGAGACTCTTTTCAAACTGGTTGACTTGTGTGAAGGCCACAGTTCTTTCCGTTCCGTACTTCTCTTCCGTGCTGTCCTTGGAACTGCTGTGCAGAGCTGCCACTTGCCTTTCCATACTCACTGCATTCATTGCCGACTCATTCATGCGTTTATTTGGGAAGCTTTTTAATGGTCTCAGAAGTTGTATTTGGACCCTCACCAGGTAATCTGGAACTAACTTTTAACTAGTATTTGGGGTAATTTGTTCCAGTTAAGTGCTAAATTTCTGTTTTGACTTAAACCTCACAGGAGTAGAAAAAGTATCATCACAGTCAACATAATATTAGTACGTCATCGTCATCATGGCTGTCATTTATAGCATCCACTGTGCATTAGGCACTGTGCTAAGTGCTCTATATGCACTGCTTAGCTACCTAAAACGTAGGTATTTTTACTGTCCCCGTCTAACAGAGAAGGTAGATGAGGTGCAGAGAGGTAAAGGCTCATGCTCGAACTCACACAGCAGGTAGGTGGTGGTGTCAGCAGGATCCTGGTCTGGCCAGTGCAAGCGCATCTGCTCCCTAACAGGGTGGTGGGAAGCAGGGCAGTGGGTACGGACGCCTGGCTTCCTCGGTCAGGGGGCCGGGCTGCACCCTGGCTCTGCACCAGCATCAGCCACACTGCCCCTGCCCAGACCGCATTTGCCTCATGCATAAAGGGAGAAGGTTCAGATTCTAACTCTAGGGCTCACTAATTTTGTTCCTCGCAAATGCTCTGTGTGTGTCTCATCATAAAGTCTTTTCTAATGTTGGCATTAGTGTGGCTGATTTGTAATAACTCTCAAAATCTCTCAAAGATTTCTTCCCAACTTGACTGACAAGAGCTTGAAAGATGCCGACAGTCAGTACAGCTTAGTAACTGAGAGATGCACATCAGAATCACAAGTGTTTTCAGTGCTCTTCAGGCAAGTGCCTTGATCTTGCTGAGCCTCAGTTTCTTTCAGCTTAAATGGGAATACCAGTGGTCGTGACTTCGTAGGGTTGCTGTGGGGAACAAGCCAGGTACTCCATGTAAAGCACTTAGCGCAGGGCCGGGCCCTTGGTAAAACTGTAAATGAGAGCTGTTAGTGGAGAGGCAAAGTAGAGGACAGACTCAGGAGTTGGAGGCCTGGGTTCAAACCCTGGCTCGTTTATTAGCTGTCTCACCACAGGCAAGCGATTCAGAGTCCCAGTTTCCTCATTTGTAGATGGAGATAATAGTCTCTATCTTACAGATAGGGTAATTATGGGGATGAAATGTCACCACACGCATGGTGCCTAGGAAGGCGCCTGGCACATAGCAAGTGCCCGGTGAACATCAGCTGCTAAGGTGGGGGTGATTCGAACAGACTCAGTAGGTGAATTAGCACCAGGAACTCTGAACCAAAACCCAGAACCCACCTTCCTTTCCCCTCTCTAGACTGTTTCTTTCTCCCACAAACGCTAAATCTCCAAAGTGGTAAAAAAAAAAAAAAAAAAACAACTGTTAAGATCTCTGGGAAAGCTGCATGGGAATCCGGAAGAGATTCTTCAGCTACATATTATCGTTTCTAGAATTTTACCGTTAGAAACTCAAGCCGGGAATCCTGCAATGAACTTCGTATC